CACGAAAAAGTCCATTAGGTTAATGTATTCGTTTGCAGCCCGTCCGACTGCCCGAATATGCCCGATATGATTCCCTTGCATGTCGTATATCCATACCGCATCGGTTGAGTGTCTAATAAATAAATCCTGTCGTCACACAGGACGATTCGTGAGATGCTTCCTATCATGCAGGAATCGGACGACAAAAAAACGATCCGCTTTGCATCGAATAATACGGAATCGTCGATCGGTTTGTGTTCAACGACGGGTATTGACATCGTCGCCAAAGGAGAAGACGTGCACGAATACAACAGGATAGAAAAAAAAGAAAAAAGGATTCGCTTCATGAGCTAGGATGCCTGCTAGTCGTAAACTGTTACCGTTGTCCTGATACACAATATACTTCGCCTTTGCCAATACAAGCAGTAGTGGTATATCTAGTGTATGCGAGAGTAACTTTTTCCCCTTTGTCATTCTCGATGGTTTCTGATCCTCTCGTGACAGAAATCATCGCTTCCGCTACTCCTGTTTCAGATTCACCCCGGGCTAACGCTTCGATATTGGCTTGCAAAAGATCAGGTTTCACTCAATCTCGTAAATTGTGTGGTTCATGGTGGATACGACTAACCAGGTCGCAGGGGCTATAAATAATTAATCGTGTGAATTTGCCGTTGGAAATGACAATCAATGTCCTTTTGCCCGGCATAGGTTGAACGTGAAGGTTGTTCAACTGTCCTGCCCCGAAAAGGATGCAGGTAGGAATGTACTGGTCATAATTCGGATTCGGTTTCATTGTCTTATACTATTTTGTTGATTATCATATAAAGGAGATTTAACCTCTTCGTCGGTTGCCTCCAACTTGAAAAAGACTGGACGCAACCGTCATTGCAACAAGTAATCGCAACACCCGGCTGGCGTACCCAATCATTGAAATAGAAATGCTTTGCACCATTGGCAAGAGCAAACACGTATGGATGGATGGTTCGCACGCGCCATCGCAGAAACCTTCGGGTTTACCTAATCCGGCATAGAACACCTGCCCTTCTTTCATCAGACTACATGGCTTGAGTCCCGGCATTCCATAGTCGCGGGCTAAATCTTCATTAAAAGTGGAACGCAATACGGTTATTTTACTTTCTTCATACTGTTTCATTTGTAATTCATTAATAATGCGAATCAATAGTTGAAAAATCAATTCCAGCTCTGTGTTAAAAACGTTATAATTCAGTTGATTATCTCATTTCTTTTGTGTTGTAATTGAAAATCAGTGAATTAGAATAATAATTCACTTGTTTTTCTAATTATGATTCCCAAAGAGAAAAAGTTAAAATAATTAGTTTGTACATCTGTCTATAAATTTTTTTTGCATTTCTACTGTTAGAGATTCAGCAACAACTCCAGTTCTGTAAAGGTGCTTACTCTGCATAAGGAGATTAAGGGAGAGGCGGAAATTCTCAAATAAAGGGGAAAAGCCGCCAGAGACCCGTTTTCACAGGCTGTTTCCAAACATTAGGCAACATATCGAGTCATTTTTCAACTGGCTGAATGAAAAAACAGAAATTCAAAGAGCGTCGAAGGTTAGAGCTACTAAAGGACTGTTAGTACATACCTTTGGAAAGTTGGCTGTTGTTATGCTAACCTATGTTAATTTTAATTTTAGAATCAAGAAGCCAACTCCTGATTCGCATAATATACCAAAGTTATTTTGAGTACGAAAATAAATTAAAATTTGATATGTCGAAAATAAATTAAGAAATATAGACAGAAAAATCCGTTTTTAAGGACGGACAATGATTATGGTATTGCGTTTTACTTTGTTTGCCGGAATGAATATCTGAATTGGAACGAATAAAAAACACTCCGAAAAAAACTTTTCGGAGTGTTTTATGAAATTAACCTATGGATAGCCCTTGCGCCGGGCGGGCGGTCGTGCGGCAACGCCGGATGATCAGTTTTTGAAAACCAATCCTTTGGCGCCGGCGTCGACGGGATCGTGCTGTTGCGGTCTACCTGGCCGGCCAGGATCTCCTTCGAGAGTTCGTTGACCAGATACCGTTGCAGCGTCCGTTTGACCGGACGTGCGCCGAACATCGGGTCGTACCCTTCTGCAGCGAGCCAGTCGATCGCTTTGTCGGTCACCTGCAGCGCGATGCTGTTCTGGGCCAGCATTTCGTTGATTTGGCGAATTTGCAGCACGACGATCTGGCGTACATCGTCGCGGGTCAGCGGCGTGAACATCACGATCTCGTCGATACGGTTCAGGAACTCCGGCCGGATCGTCTGTTTCATCAGGTCGAAAACCTCTTTTTTAGTCTCTTCGAGCACGCTTTCGGGCGGCGTATCGTCGGTGTATTTCGACAGCCGGTCCATGATGATGTGCGAACCGATGTTCGACGTCATGATGATAATCGTGTTGCGGAAATCGACCGTGCGGCCTTTGTTGTCGGTCAGCCGGCCGTCGTCGAGCACTTGCAGCAGGATGTTGAACACGTCCGGATGCGCTTTCTCGATCTCGTCGAGCAGTACGACCGAGTAGGGCTTCCGCCGCACGGCTTCGGTCAGTTGACCGCCTTCGTCGTAACCGACGTATCCCGGAGGCGCTCCGATCAGCCGCGATACGCTGTGCCGCTCCTGATACTCGCTCATGTCGATACGCGTCATCATCGTGTCGTCGTTGAACAGGTATTCGGCCAGCGCTTTGGCCAACTCGGTCTTGCCGACGCCGGTCGTGCCCAGAAAGATGAACGATCCGATCGGCCGGCGCGGATCTTGCAACCCGGCCCGCGAACGCCGCACGGCGTCCGAAACGGCCGCGATCGCCTGATCCTGTCCGATTACCCGGTCGTGCAGCTCGCTCTCCATCTTCAGCAACTTCTCACGTTCGCTCTGCAGCATCGGCTGACCGGAATGCCCGTCCAGCGGGCGACCACTTCGGCGATGTCCTCCGCATCGACCTCCTCTTTGATCATCGCCCCGGCCTCGGCGTTTTTGTTCACTTCGGCCTGCAGTTTCTGAATCTCGGTCTCCGTCTCGCGCATTTTGCCGTAACGGATCTCGGCCACGCGGCCGTAGTCGCCGTTGCGTTCGGCTTCGGCGGCCTGAACCTTCAGATCGTCGAGCATTTGTTTGTTCTTCTGTATCTTCTCTAAAATATCCCGTTCGCTCTGCCATTTGGCGCGCAGGGTCGTGCGTTTGGCGTTCAGTTCGTCGATCTCGCGCGTCAGCTCTTCGATCCGACCCTTGTCCTTCTCGCGGCGAATCGCTTCGCGCTCGATCTCCAATTGGCGTACCTTCCGGTCGAGTTCGTCGATCTCTTCGGGCACGGAGTTCATTTCGAGCCGCAGCTTGGCCGCCGCTTCGTCGATCAGGTCGATCGCCTTGTCGGGCAGGAAGCGCGACGTGATGTACCGGTGCGACAGTTCGACCGACGCGATGATCGCCTCGTCTTGATCCGCACCTTATGGTGGTTTTCGTAACGCTCTTTCAGGCCCCGCAAAATCGAAATGGCGTCCACGGTCGTCGGTTCGTCGACCATTACCTTCTGGAAACGCCGTTCGAGCGCTTTGTCCTGTTCGAAATATTTCTGGAACTCGTCCAGCGTCGTGGCGCCGATCGCGCGCAACTCGCCCCGCGCCAGCGCCGGTTTCAGGATGTTGGCCGCATCCATCGCGCCGTCGCCTTTGCCGGCTCCGACCAGCTATGGATTTCGTCGATGAACAGCAGGATCTCGCCTTCGGCCGAAATTACTTCTTTGACCACGGCTTTCAGCCGCTCTTCGAACTCGCCCTTGTACTTCGCTCGGCGATCAGCGCGCCCATATCCAGCGAATAAACCTGTTTGCTTCGCAGATTCTCCGGGACGTCGCCGTCGACGATCCGGTGCGCGATTCCTTCGGCGATGGCCGTTTTGCCGACGCCCGGTTCGCCGACCAGGATCGGGTTGTTTTTGGTTCGCCGCGACAGGATTTGCAGTACCCGCCGGATCTCCTCGTCCCGGCCGATCACCGGGTCGAGTTTGCCTTTGCGGGCCTGTTCGTTCAGGTTGATCGCGTATTTGCCGAGCGCGTCGTACTCCTGCTCGCTGGTCTGGCTGTCGACGGTCGAACCTTTGCGCAGCTCTTTGATCGCCGCGATCAGTTCTTTTTCGGTCGCGCCGGCGTCTTTCAGCAGCCGTCCGGCCTCCCCTTTTTCGGCGATGATACCGAGCAGCAGGTGTTCGACCGAGGCGTATTTGTCGCCGAACGTTTTCGTGAAATCCGAGGCTTTCTGAATGACCGCGGAACTTTCGCGCGAAAAATAGGGGTCGCCGCCTTCGACTTTCGGCAGCCGGTCGATTTGTTGTTTCAGTACGCTTCGCAGCGCCCCGACGTTTACGCCGAGTTTTTGTAGCAGAAATACGCCCAGGCTGTCGTCCTCGGCGACAATGGCGCTCAGAATGTGCATCGGTTCGACGGCTTGGTTGCCGTTGCCCGACGCGAGGTTCATGGCGCTTTGCAGGACTTCCTGCGCTTTGATTGTCAAACTGTTGATGTTCATATCTTATTCTCCTTTTATTTTCGTGTTTTATCCGTTTTTTCAGGAAAGCAGCAAAATGGCTGCCAGAGAACGGTTTGTGAAAAAATGACGCAGAATACCGGACAAAAATGACAGAACGAACTGTCCGGAAGACATATCCGTGGCATAAATCCTGCCTAAATGACAGGACGGTCCTTCCTGTTTTCCGGAATGCTACGGATTTGTTTTCTAAACTATTTTCGATCGTTTGTCCAAAATATAATAGTTATATTTACGTTATTGAATTATCACGCTGATAAATAATGAATTACTCGCGTCGAACGGGAAAGGAGAAAAACGATAAACGGGTCCGGATTGTCCGGGTTCTAATAACCTAAAAACTTCAGATTATGGCAAATGCGTTTTTTTCATTCGGAGCATGCCGGACGCGTCGTCGTCCGTTGGTTCGCCGTTGCGGCGTTTTCGGCTTTTTCGGCTGGCTGCGGCCGGCCGGCTGCCGTTTCCGACGGCGTGGCCGAGCGGGTGGTGATCGGTGCGGATACCGTGGTCGTCTGCGACCTGAACAAGATCCGCGATACGATCGACCTCCCGCTGAGCGAACTGACCGCCGAAAAACTGAGGATCGTAAAACTGGAAACCGTCCCGAGGCATTTTTCAAGCCGTCCAAAACGTTCGTTTCCGAAAATTACATCGGGGTCGTAGGCTACGAACCGGCCTCTTTCAAACTGTTCGACGGGAATGGGAAATTCCTGAACGATATCGGGACGCAGGGGCGCGGTCCCAACGAATACCGCAACATTTACTGGGCTCAGATCGACGAGGGCTCCGGCCGCGTGTTTATCCTGCCGTGGCAAAGCGACCGGATTTTGGTCTTCGGGCTCGACGGGTCGTCGCTGCCGTCGATACCGTTGCCTTGCAGGTCTCCGAAAGGGATTTTCCGGGCGAACCCCGACTCGACGGTTTCGGTAAGCGTCCTGCCGTTCGAAAACGCGGGAATCGAAAGTTTCGTCTGGAACCAAGATATGCAGGGAAACGTGGTCGCCCGGATCGATGCGGCCCCCTTCCGGATCAAGGCGGATTTCGGGAATGAAATGGCGTCCGGAAGCGCAACCCGTTTCGAACCCGTTCTGATGTATTCCGACGGTCACCGGCCCGATTCGTTGCGTTATTACGATCCGCAGGCCAACCGCCTGGTGCCCGTATTTGCCGTTCGGCATCTTGCCGAACGGAAAGCCGATCTATCCGAAGTACGCCGAGACGGGCGATTATTTCTGGGCGTCGTTTAGCCCGACCATGGAACAAACCGGGGCGCACTCTTTACTTCGTCGGCTCCCGTATTCTTTCTGGTCGATAAAAACGACCTTACCGGAGCTTATTTCAAACTGAAACTGGATGAACTGGCCGATATCGCCGTCTGGCCCGGTCATTTGCAGGACGGCTATTTTCTTTGGAACGTTCCGGCCATTACGCTCAAAAAAGTCTTTGCGAGGGATTCTCGACGCGGGATACGACGCCGATCCGCAGGCGGTCGAAAAGATCCGGCGACTGGATGCCGAACTCGACGACGAGGATAACAACGTAGTCATATACGCCCGTCTGAAATAGAAAAAGCGACCCGCCTTGTCGATTCCGGTCGAATTTCGTATCTTTGTTTCCGGAAAGGAAAATTATGGATAATTTCATCGTATCGGCCCGGAAATACCGTCCGGCGACCTTCGCATCGGTCGTCGGACAGTCGCATATTACCTCGACGCTGAAGAATGCGATCAGCCGTCGCCAGTTGGCGCATGCGTACCTGTTCTGCGGGCCGCGCGGCGTCGGCAAGACGACTTGCGCGCGGATCTTCGCCAAAGCGATCAACTGCCTGAATCCGGGGCCCGACGCCGAAGCCTGCAACGAGTGCGAATCGTGCCGTGCGTTCAACGAGGGCCGGTCGTTCAATATCCACGAACTGGACGCCGCGTCGAACAACTCGGTGGACGATATCCGCAACCTGACCGACCAGGTGCGTATCCCGCCGCAGATCGGTCGTTACAGCGTCTATATCATCGACGAGGTGCACATGCTGTCGGTGCAGGCGTTCAACGCGTTTCTGAAAACGCTCGAAGAGCCGCCCGCACATGCCGTGTTTATCTTGGCTACGACCGAAAAGCACAAGATCATTCCGACGATCCTGTCGCGCTGTCAGATTTACGATTTCAACCGGATTCGCGTCGAGGACGGCGTGGAGTACCTCAAATACATCGCTTCGCAGGAAGGAGTGACCTACGACGACGAGTCGCTGCACCTGATCGCCCGTAAGGCCGACGGCGGAATGCGCGACGCGCTGTCGATGTTCGACAAGGTGGTTTCGTTCTGCGGGCAGAATCTGACGGTCGCCCAGGTGGCCGCGACGCTCAACGTGCTCGATTACGATACCTATTTTACGATCGCCGAACAGATCCTGGCCGGAGACTATACGAACGCTTTGCTGCTTTTCGACGAGGTGTTGCGCAAGGGTTTTTCCGGACAGACTTTCGTGGCGGGGCTGAACAGCCATTTCCGCGACCTGCTGATGTGCAAGAATCCGCAGACGTTGCCGCTGCTTGAGGTGACGGGCAGCGTGGCCGAACGTTACCGGACGCAGGCCGCACAATGTCCGGTGCCGCTGCTGTTCGAGGGGATCAATTGCTGACGGCGGTCGACGCGTCGCTGCGGACGGCTACCAACCAACGATTGCATGTCGAACTGGGTCTGATGAAACTTTGCGGACTCGGTCAAAAAAAAAATGACGAAGCCCTGACGCCGTCGCTGCCCGATCTGGGCGGTTCCCGGAACGTTCCGGACGGTTCCGCGCGACAGCCTGCGCCGGCCGCAGCGACCGTAGTCCCGCCGCGGGACGGACAACCGTCGTCGGCACTTGCCGGGACTGCTGCGGAAAAACCGGATCCCGGGCCGCGAAACCCGTAAGCCGGTTCCCCTGTTCCTGTTGCTTCGCCGCCTGCGTCGGCCGTTTCGCAGTCCCGCCCCGCCGGAAAAGCCGAACCGGGGCCGTCCCGTCCCGCGCCGACGACGGGGGGCGTTTCGCTGTCCGGCCGTTCGATCCTGTCGTTGCTGAATACGAGCCGCCCCGCCGCGCCGTTTCGGGAGATGCCGATCCGGCGGAAGATCCGGAGAACCTGCCCGATGCGGATGAAGCGGTCGAAGAGGATGTCGAATCCCGTTTGCAACAGGGATGCGAATTGCTGACCCGCGAATTGCTTGCGGAGCGGCCCCGGCTGGGGATCGCGTTCCAGGATGTCAGCATACGCGGGAACCGGATTCTTCTGAAAGTGCCGAACGAATCGCTGTACGACGAGGTGACCAATCACCTGACCGATATCCGCAAACGGCTTTGCGACTTGGGCGATGTCCGCTCGGCGATTGAATTTCAGGTCGAGATCAGCGAAAACAAGGCCGGCCTGAAACCGATCAAAGTCGAAGACCGGCTGCGTACCTGACCGAAAAAAATCCGCTGGTCGCCAAACTCCGTCGCGACCTCGACTCGATATCGAATAGCGGCTTTCCCGAAATTGTTGTGTTTCGCGGAATTTGACTACCTTTGCACGGATCGCGGCAGCCGGCCGCGACGATCCACTAAAAATCTGCTAAAAGCACATAAAACCGATGAATTTTGTAGAGGAACTCAAATGGAGGGGCATGGTGCACGATATCATGCCGGGAACCGAGGAGCAATTGAACAAGGAGATGACGACGGCTTACGTCGGAATCGACCCGACGGCGGACTCGCTGCATATCGGGCACCTGTCAGCATTATGATCCTTAAACACTTCCAGCGGTGCGGGCATAAGCCCATTTTCCTGGTGGGCGGGGCTACCGGCATGATCGGCGACCCGTCGGGCAAGTCGCTTGAGCGCAACCTGCTCGACGAGGAGACCCTGCGTCGCAACCAGGAGGGGATCAGAAGGCAGCTCAGTCACCTGATCGACTTCGAGTCCGATGCTCCGAATGCGGCCGAACTGGTCAACAACTACGACTGGATGAAGAATTTCACGTTCCTGGAATTTATTCGCGACATCGGCAAATGCATTACGGTCAACTACATGATGGCCAAAGGACTCTGTCAAGAAGCGCTTCAGCGGCGAGGGCGACGGCATGTCGTTCACCGAATTTACGTACCAACTGGTGCAAGGAACCGATTTTTTGCAATCTTTATCAGCATAAGAACTGCAAATTGCAAATGGGCGGTTCCGACCAATGGGGAAATATCACCACCGGAACCGAGTGATTCGCCGCAAAACAGGCGGCGAAGCGTTCGGGCTGACCTGCCCGCTGATCAAGAAGGCGGACGGGACGAAATTCGGCAAAACCGAGGCCGGGAACGTATGGCTCGATGCGCGTTATACGTCGCCGTACCAGTTCTACCAATTCTGGCTGAACGTCAGCGACGAAGATGCCGAACGTTATATTAAGATATTCACGATGCTCGATCGGCAAACGATCGATGCGCTGATCGCCGCGCACCGGGAGGCGCCCCATTGCGCGAGTTGCAGAAGACGCTGGCCCGCGAGATTACCTGCATGATTCATTCCGAGGAGGAGTACCGCAAGGCGGTCGAGGCTTCGGGTATCCTATTCGGAAATGCGACGGCCGATGCGTTGCGCCGGATCGACGAGCGGACGTTCCTACAGTTTTCGACGGAGTTCCGCAGTTCGAAGTGCCGGCTTCGACGCTTGCCGGCGGAGTGAATTTCATCGCTCTGTGCACCGAACATGCGTCGGTTTTCCCGTCGAAAGGCGAAGCCCGCAAGCTGATTCAGGGAGGCGGCATATCGCTCAACAAAGAGAAGGTTACCGCGGTCGATGCGATCGTTTCGGCCTCCGACCTGATCTCCGGTAAATACCTGCTCGTGCAAAAGGGAAAAAAGAACTATTCCTGATCGTTGTCAAATAACCGTAAACGCCCGATAAGATGACATTGATAAAACCTTC